CACCTGAGGGCTGAGGCAAAAAAGTTGCCGATGAGGCGGGGCGGCCCCCAGACTGAGGCAGCAGCGGCGACGGTTCTCAGCCTGGGCGATCAGGTGGGGCGGGGGGAAGAGGCACTGAGCACAGTGGCGAGGAGTCTCCCTACAGCTCCCCGGCACCACGCAGTCCAGCTCCCAAGAGAGATTTGAAGGAAGCCCCAGTTCCCTCCCACACACATCTTTCCGGTTTTCCTTTAATTTTTTTTCTGTTCCCATGGTGGCACTGGGGAGAGCACCCCAGGTGCTTCAGGTGACATAGTGGAAATGACTGTTCATTCCTGGAGTTCTTACAAAGGGTTCAGGTGAGGGAGGTCCGATACCCGGGGCGGAGCATGGGATGGACATCTCAGGGTGCACCAGGATTGGAAGGTAGGGAGAAGGAGGGAGGAACGTGGGAGGAGTCAGGTGTCTGGGGCCAGTGGGAGCTCACTCCGCACTGCGGCATTTTCTGGCCAATCAGTGTGGGATGAGCGGGAAAGCAGGGGAGAGTAAGGGATTAAAGAACTTCTGGTGGAAATAACTGGGGACAAGTTCAGACATGTCTGGGGTAGCAGAAATCAAGGGGATTGCTACAGAGATATATGTGTGGGTACAATAAACTGGGTTCAGAACTGGGGTGAAAACATTGAAGTCCATAAGTTGGTGTTTTCCTCAAGCACCATACAGGTCTCTGCAAGATTGAAATGCTGCCATTCTGTTGCTTGTTCCTCCACAGATATGTTGGCTATTTTCCAAGTCCTTCTTTACTCTGCCTCCTTTGCCAGTGGAGGCATTTCAGTGTTGGCAAAGGAGACTTCAGACTATGTTGCTGCAGCAGCACCTGCCATTGCAGAGCTCTTGAGGATCTGTGGCAAGAATCAGTTTATGTCAGAAAGGTGGCTTGCAGATGCCCTGAGATCATAGTTCAAATGCAAACCCTTGGGAAGATGGTGTTGGCCACAAGTCGGGCTCTTAAACTGTCTCTTGCTGCCCACTTCACCAGGTGAATGGACGAGAAGAAAAGACTGGACTTACATGAGTTCATGGGCAGTTTCCTCTTCAGTTTTCATGCATTTTCTCAACTAGGCCATTCAGGGGGGCAACTACCCTCTAGGGCACAGTTATTGCTGTGTGTCCTGCAAGGGACACTCTGACTCAACTTGGAAGTTCAAAACCCCTTTTCCAGGTGTCAGTGGTTGGGCTGAAGCACCATGTCATGGCAGGGCTACAGCCCTCACAATCTTCAGCCATGCATGGCAAACACTGTCTGCTCAGGAACTTGCAGCTCTGAATGACACCAAAGGCAGTGCTGACCAAAGCTGGCACTTACTGATTTCATTCCTTCAGGCATTACTTCTCCAACAGCCACAGGTTCCTTCTCCACTTCTTTCTCTTCAACCTCCTGTCCAGAATCAGAGGGGGCCAGAAGAGGTTCTGGTGCTGCTGGTGTGCCCTGGGGACAGTCACTAGAGTCAGGGACAGTCACCATTCTGTTCCTTGCACAGTTGGATAGTTACACGCAATAACAAAAGAGTCATTTGACACAGGGACACTTTCTTGTTCAGTTTGCATAGATTTTCTCAACTAGGCTATTCAGACGGGCAGGTAACCCCAGGGCACAGTTATTCCTATGTGTCCTGCAAGGGACACTCTGGCTCAACTTGGAAGTTCAAAACCCCTTTTCCAGTTGTCAGTGTTTGGGCTGAAGCACCATGCCATGGCAGGGCTCCAGCCCTCACACTCTTCAGCCATGAAAAGGAAGCTCGCTCAGATCACAAGTTCTAAATTACACCAAAGGCAATGCTAATGTAGTCTGGCACTTACTGATTCAATTTCTTCAGGCTCTACGGCTCCAACAACAGCCACGGGTTGACTGTTCACTTCCTCTTTACCCTCTTGTCTATAGTGTGGGGTGACTTTATATGATAAAGAATTAAGCACGCTCTTCTGAGGTGGAGAACAAAGAGATTTATTTCAAATCCGGTGCTTCCTTTTATACTCTGATAGCGTGGGACCTTCGAACCAATAGGGTTGTCTGTTCCTGCGTCTGTCCCTTGATTCCTTTGCCCCTGGGACATGCCTCCTACACTTCTCCAGAGAGAGAGGGAGCCAGCAGAGGTTCTGGTGCCGGTGTTGTGCCCTTGGGACAGTCAGTAGCATCAGTGACAGTCACCATTCTGTCCCTTGCAAAGTTGGATAGTTACACAAAATAACAAAAGGGTCATTTGACACAAGGGCCCGGCCAATTTCTTGTTCATTGTTCATGGATTTTCTGAAATAGGCCCTGTGGAGGGGCAGGTACGTCCAGGGGACAGTTTCTCCTGTCTGTAAGGAATCCTGCACGGCAATCTAAAGACTAAACAGGAAGAGTCAAAATCCCCTTTTCCAGTTGTCAGTGGCTGGCCTGAAGCACCATGTCATGGCAACACTCCAGCCCTCACACTCTTCAGCCATGAAAAGCAAGCTTGCTCTCATCACAAGTTCTAAATTACACCAAAGGCAATGCTAATGTAGTCTGGTACTTACTGATTTAATTTCTTCAGGCTCTGCGGCTCCAACAACAGCCACGAGTTCATTGTCCGCTTGCTCTTCTTAAACATCTTGTCCCGAAATAGAGGGAGCCAGAAGAGGTTCTGGTGTCAGGTTTGTGCCCTGGGGACAGTCAGTAGAGTCAGGGACAGTCACCGTTCTGTCCCTTGCAAGGTTGGAGAGTTACACACAATAACAAAAGAGTCATTTGACACAAGGCCACTTTCTTGTTCAGTTTGCATAGATTTTCTCAACTAGGCTATTCAGACGGGCAGGTAACCCCAGGGCACAGTTATTTCTATGTGTCCTGCCAGGGACACTTGGAAGTTCAAAAACCCTCTAAGCAAGGTCAATGCCAGGAGGATGCAGGCCTGTGTGTTGTTCTGAAGAGCACTGAGGTGG